CTGTTTATTTGTGTTTTATTAATAAGTGGAATTTTATTAATACTGGTATTTACTGTTTAATTGTTCCACATTCTCTCACCTGGGCTGGAAGGCAGCCTTAAAGTAATTTAAATGATAAATTAACCACACAACATGCGGTAGTGGAATCATTGTACATACATTCCTGTATGCTACTTCTCCATTAGCACTGATTTTAGTATGCTCCAGATATTATTAGTTATGATTCTCATTATTGATCTGAATGTGTCAGCTTTTGTATTCTTCCAAAATTGCCCTTCCATGTATAAATCAGATCTCAAATTATTTGATGCTACTACTTAGAATGGTAGTGTCATCATATGACAAATCTCAAAACCTCAAAAACTTTATAAGGAAGCAAGACAATTGATTTTCTTTTATTCAGCATTGTTAACTTGCATGTTATTTGCATATACTATTTGCAGAAGCTGATATTTTACAAAAGTTGCATATAGTTTGATACTATTGAGCAAGAACATTTACTATTTATATGTATTGATTTTTTAAATAAAATGGATCATCAAGGTGATTTTTTAAATGGATAACGTTTCAGTAATATTTATTAGAAACCTCACAACCAACTTGAAACAACTCAGCACAACCACTGTCAAGATAAAAACTGAAATCTTAAGGGATCTGTAACAAGAAATTTTACAGAAGAAGAAACTGAATGAGGATTTCTCCCTGTATCACAGTTAGTTCCAATTAGTGCCAGAACTCATGATAATGCTGATTAATCAAACTTTAGAAAAGAAAGCAGAGGGATAGCAACCATTTTGTTTTCTGTGGTGGCTCTCTTAACTATTATACTTAGAAAGCTTTAGGAGAAACTTAATCTGAATAAAATTTGAGAGAGTCAGTGGGTGGTCTTTAATTATTGTTTAGTTGTTTTGCATTCTCAACCCTGCAATATAATTCAAGCTTTACTCTATCATGGAGACAGATGGTTAGTTTTATTTACACAATATTTTTAAGGGTGAAGTTGGTCCTCTTGGGCCTCGAGGAGAAGATGGCCCTGAAGGTCCCAAAGGTCGTTCAGGTCCTACAGGAGACCCAGGTGGCCCTGGCCAAGCTGGAGAAAAGGTTAGTAATGGTTTAGTCTGATATTTCTATCATGAGAATTGACCAGCATAATACTAGCAAGAATGTGACACAAACAATTGAAGCACAAATGACATATGGAAACATTAACCTCATGTGTGAAACGTATATGTAGGGGATCTCAGATTTGTCATAAAGGCCTACATTAGAACTTATGAGAACATGTATTTATTTATTTACAGGATTTATATGGCCACCTATCTCATATGAGTCTCTTTACATGGTGAAAAGACAACTCACCTTTTTTACATGATGACTATTATGTCAGTGAGAGGTGTAAATTGGAAATCTCCCACTTAAAACCAAAGTTTCTTATCAAGGAAGAAGAAGAACCCAATTCAATTCAAACAGTAGAGCAGTGGACCAAAGGCAGCTTGTAGAGTCTCCTTAATATTTTCTTTTAGTTTCTGAAATAAAAACCATTTTCTTATCACCAACTCTCCATTTGCTGTCTCTGTGCATCTCTATTTAATCTATTATGATCTCTGTGTTTTATTTTAAGAATTCTAAATAGAGAGTAGTGATAATACCCTAAAAGTGATACTGAATATGTATATCT